TTGACTGCTTGTCAGCCAACCTCCATAATGCAATCCGAACGTCTAAAAGATTTATATAATCGATTTGCTTCATTTTGTCATTGTTCTGCACCACAAGTCACATTTGAGATAACTGTAATTCTTGTCTGTGATCAATTAGATGTCGCGATAGGAAGTCCAACAAAGTTTTGAGTGAATTGAATTATCGAAAATTTGTTGATTTTACACACTGTATCCTCTATCCTACTAAGGATATACATGCACCTAAGGCCCTGAAACAAGATCTCCAGTAAACTACACTACAGATATTTTTTGAAAGTTTTAGTTTGATACTCGAAGTCTTTCATCAGAGCATTTCACAAAGCAAAGTCACTCCTTTTGTGCCCAGGGCCAGCTGCTGTGTGCAATAATTCCTGCCTAAATCTACGCATCTGGCGCTTTATGAAATCTACGGTGGCCAAGACGAGAAAAAAGATGAAAGAAGTATAATTCCCGTTCTTTGGCATTGAAGCAACACTTTTTCTTTGAATTTTTTAAAACAATCTAAACAAGTTGTACAGACAGCTCCATGGTTATTTCCAGTTTAATAAATTAATTAAAGTGAGCGGCCTCTCTTGGCGAGTCCATTGGAGCTAATTAATTGTATAACATTTCAAATCAGACTTCTCAATATGAATTTCAATAATACTTTACTGTTTCTAAACTAAACATGAAGTCTGTGTTTCTGTCAGTACGTTGTACGTGTATCTAACATTGTTGCATCACACACACAAAAACAAATCACTTGCCGCCTACTTTGCTTGCTTTGTCTACCTGTCTGTCTCGACAGTCTTCTCTGATGCAGTGCCCCCTTCACAACCTCACACTAAAGATGACCTCTACATCCTCCAGCGCTCTACACGGGAGAACGCTGGTGTCCCGTTGATGTCCCTACCCATATTAATTTCACGTAATTTATATTACATGTCAATTTCTTTCTTTGTATATCTTTACAGTTGGGTGTAACTGTCTTCACACTTTTTTACTCACGAACCTTTTTTTTTTATATTTTATAGCGCTTTAGAGTGTGTCTTGTGCAAACTGTAATTTTAATTGTAATTAATTATATTTGTCACGTAATCACTTCATAATTCAACTCTTGGGTTGCAATCAAGTGAAAATAAACCAGAACAGTAATAATAATGTAGCGGACCAGCCCCACGTCAGTTGATTGGACGGTGGGAGGAAGGAGAAACGGTCCCTTAAAGCGGACGAGCATTTGGGGAACACGTGAACAACAAATGATGAACCCCAGAACTACAATTTATTGAATATGAAAACAGTTGGTGTAGTGTAATGGCTGGACGGCACCGTGAATAATTATACAATGGATGGTCGAAGGCTGACACTACTAGCTAACCAATACACTGTGGCACATTGTAATACAGAGAGCAGTTACCACATTGGGCCCCGTAAATCGTACAATTTCTCCGACAGAAGATCGTGTGAAGTATTTAAACAATGATAATTTACTAGGGGTTTCTAGCATTGACACTCTCCGTCACTTGCAAATTAACAGAAACAAAATGCAGAGAGTACGGTTCTACATTCGAGACCCAAAGCAAAGACATCAACTTCACACCACGTGCCCGGGAACCCTAAAAAGTATCAACTTTGCGTTCATCACCTCCGTGACGCGTATTGGAAGGATGAGGGCGCCCTTACTCAGGTACGGTTCCCTACAATAATAACGGTCACCTCTTCCAAACACACAATGACCCAACTTAGCCACTCCCATCCACCCGGGTCTATGAATTTCACTCCAAATAGATTTATAAATAAATAATAGGCAGCTGGTAAAAAAACGGAGAACAAAACAAGCCCAAATGTCCCTCAAGTACATCCTCCTGGGGAACTGGCACTTAAACTCCGTCCCAGCTTTCACTACCACATTCTACTCTCCATTTCCACTCTGTGCTACCACCATCATCAGTGACAACCTCGTCCCACATCCACCCCTACCCACACCCCTTCCACGTAACCAGACCACTGTAGCTACGGCCGCCCACATACATGTACCATCCCATCATCACCAGAATTCTTGACCACGGAGAATCCAGTGTCAATCCAGTGTCAACCCAGCCCTCGTCTGGGAAAATGAGGGAAACAAAAACTTATAACAGACCCATCGTCATTTTGTATTTAGATTTCACGCAACAGAAAATAGAAACAACAAATGAATATTTTGAAACTTAAAAAAGGGGGGCGGCCATATTCGCAACAGTGTAACGTCTCGTTGGATCACTGCATCATCTGACATCACACTGTACATAAAAAGGGCAAAAGGGCAAAATGTAAGCAAGACATGAAGACTTGCCCCGAAACGAACTCTTGTATTAGTGTCTTTTAAATTTGGCGTAAACGGCTATTTGTTTCTTCTTTATACGCAAACTAATACGGGATTAATTTGCGGCATTTGGGGGTCAATGGCAGATTTTTTTTGGCACTTAAAACCATACATGTGACTGTTGGCTGTTTAGTGGCGCGCGCATCCGCAAAATGTCATAGGAAAAGATACGACTTAGGGGGGCTGACAGGTTCAATCCCGCTGTAGTCAATTTCTTTGTTGATCTTTATAATCATGCCACAGAACGTCGAATAAAATAGCGCGAGCGTCACCTGACATATTTCAGTGGAAATCGTGTCAGCTCTCCTCCATGTTTCAGTCTGTTTCTCACCACCCCCCGTGCGATGTGCAAGCATTCAGGCAAAAAGTAATTCGAGCAATAGCTTCCTTGGCTGCCCCCAACTGTTTGGTTAGTGGGTAAGAGTGCCTGACAAGTAAAGGGTGTTATGCTTTTTTTCTCTTATAGTCCTTTCCTGGAAAAATCGAGAAAAAAAACTATTCACGCGCAAATCCCACAAATTCGGTGACTCTTTGTTCAAAGTACATGCGAATAAGATGCCCTGATACAATACATGGATTACAATGTGTATGAATGCTCCGTGACTTATTGTTTGACAAGCAACTGAATTCGAAAGCACAAAAAACCAAACTGGGACACAAAAGGAAACGTACAACTTCAGCCCACTTGTCTAAAACCGCGTCAAATTAAACAAAGTTTTTGTATCAAATTGCTCGGGAAAAATACCACATTGGCTAGAAAAATCTGGGCCCTAAAACTAACTCGTTGCATTGCTTCTAGAACAGTGAGTGTGCAGCGGACTTCAGGTTGATTCTGTTGTATTGAACGGTCAAAATTCTAGGTTTAGCCTGCAGCAATGTACATGTACGTGCGTGTCCATAGAGTACGTACGCACGAAATGCCGACTTTTCACTCAACCCCCTCTTCCCCTGTACGCATACTTGTACGCATGCCACAATTCCCACAGACGCTGCCGGTCTCTGTGTCATGAGTAATGTTGTGGTCCACTAATAATGGGCGTTGGCAAGGGAGGATGAATGGTGGGGTGGATAGCGGAGGATACTGTGTTTGAATGGTTTCCAGACGTATGCCTACAAAAGCTGATTCTGGTATTTATTTGTATGAGAAGCGTATTGATTATGATTAAGATTCATTACGGGCAATGTTTCGGTTTGCGTGCGGTACGCACTGGCTTGAACCCCCCCCCCCGCGTATGGTGTAAGCATTGGCACCACCACCGCTTGTGTGGACGTACTTTCTGGACGGTAACAAGAACAAGATTGCAGACGGCGTTATTCACATCTGATTTCGATGCGTTCATAAAGCATCAGTACTACTATAGTACTGCTTAGTCCGGAAGGTGCATCAGAAAATTGATGAGTCCTGTTCTTTGTGGTAGCTGAAAGCCTACAGGATCAGCCTTAAAGGACTCCCGTCATCCATGCATGATTGGTAGCTATTCATCAAAAGACCCCTGTCAGTTAATCGATAACATTCTGGTTAAAAAAGCGGTCGTGGTCATGCATTTTAGGCTGCACAGAAAATGAACTTTCGAAACCATTGTGTGAGACCTATTGCTAACCATTGACATCCGGGTTTCGCCCAGGATACTGCTGAGTAAAACTTTGGCCAGACTTTTTCTGTTCAGAACTGAATGCTTCCTGCCCCCCCCCCATAAAAAAGGCTCCCGGAATACTTGGTTCTGGGTAAGGCTTTATCACCACTTAATCTTTAGGAAGTGCGGAGTGATACACACGGAAGTACCCTTTTCGGAAAAGCACGGGTACGGAAGGGTATAGGGACCATGTGCCAATTTTTTTCGAGTTACTACATGTATCTCCCGTCTGCGAGTTTTTATCGCTCGGATATATAGCTCTATTTTGTATTTTATTGATTGGGGGGGCAGTGGCCCTGACACGCTTACGTACACGGGCACATTCTCTTTTGGACAAAGTTTTGGCTCTGAGAAAAGCCAATGGTGAGAGAGGTCAGAGCCAACGCTTTTCCCCCCAAACAGATTCTGCCCATATGCAAACAATACTCCTCTATCAGTTCGCACCATGTGTACACGAAATTCTTGATTTTTCTTTCTTGCCTTCTTCGGTATACGTCTCAGCTTCAATGGCGCAAGCCATTTTGCTGAAACGAACCACAAATTACTCCAGGCTTTATCCTTGTTAACAATAATGCCATATAGTGTACAGGGTTTAAAAGACCCTTAACTAGAGGTGCTTGCATGGCACCTATACTTTTCTTCTATGGTAAATGGTTGCAAAACGCTGGACAGTCCAAAAAACACTTGCAGCACAAAAGAAAACTTAATTACACTACTGCAGGAGACAACCAGTCCATCACTTCCAATTCTCCACGAGTAAACGTGTAAATCCTATTTTAAAAAACGGTAGCAAATGCACATGAGAGTTGGACACTTATACATCTCTATACTAGTCAATGTGAAACTATTATGATTTGCCATATACGGTGCACAGTTTTGAGGAAAACTGTTTAAAACCATTTCACAAGAAATACTTTTCTAGACTGCGGGTCTTTTTGTTTATCTCCCTGGTGGAGAATTCAGGAGAAATTCCTATCAACTATAGTAAAAACTTCACTGACCCGAATCGCGCCTGTTGCTGACAAGCCTTTGTTCCCTCCTCCTTCCAGTGCGATGGCATCAAAGGGGAAGATGCAACCTCCAAATTCATGTTTCTGCTCCTCTGAGAGAATCGGTGAATAATTGTCTTTGGATGAAGCAGGAGAGACCACCGAATCCACCTCATTTGACCCGTTACCGTGGCCGTTGCTACTGCTCGCCACACTGTTCGGCCTCTCATTGTTAGGCTGCTGAGCCACCTTCTTGATCCCGTACGTCTTTGCTCTTGAGCTCATCGTTACGCTGTGCGTGGAAGGTGTAGTTTTCAGTGCCTGCCACTCGAAAATGCCACTGGTCTAACGTAATCTGCTGGCTGGAATGCTGGCTGTGCGCACGCATGGATGACCCACAGACGCGTATTATCCATGACATTGGTTGTACATGTATGTCAGGCCTTTCCCTAGACTATGATTGAAGGTCGTGCATCAAAGGTCGTAGTTAGCAGGGGGGGGGCGTCATGCACCAGGCATCACACGGTATTCGTGAACACTATTCTGCGTGTATCATGGCGACGTCAAGCCTAAGAATTCCGGAGAAATCCAGAGTTTTCCAACCTGTAAACGGGGATGCACATCGTGCGGGGCTGATTTAAGGGCCATCCAGTTCTTTATGCATTATAATAATGACCTGAGCTTTTCGTGATCCAATGAAAGGCCTAGCTGAAGGGAAATAGGTTTCAAGGCAGGCTGACTGTCAACTTATCCAGAAACCAGCTCGGTCCTCAAGGCCACTCGGTCCCTGTGTGAAACAGTTTTCAGACCTTAGAAACATCATCAGTACACTAATGGCTTTCCTGAACTCAAACCAATTGCTTCATGCTGAAACCTGTTAATAACTCGAAAACTCGGTTCATCTTAAAGTCACACTTCCTTCCGTACGTCCCGTCAAAGAGGAAATGAACGAAATTTGGTTTTCGGAATGAACCCAATCCCAATTGCTGATCGATCAATGTACATGTACGTACAGGGCCGTACAGTTTCTACCGGTAACTGCTCAGAGTTAATTTGACATTATTTGGATAAAATGGTGCCATAATGCGTAATGTTCTGTTGCAACGAGCAACAGAACCTACGTTTAGACCTACGTTTCATCAGCCGGTAACTCAATACATAATGTATTCATAGATACGCGATCATGGCGCCTACTCGTAGTATTCATCACGCAAATAAAGTTTGCAAAAGGAACTACACGGCATCAGGAAACTATATAAATGTTGAAATTCCAATCGTAATTGGCCCCTTTAAGCATAAAAGTGGGGTGCTCGTAACATGACAAAATGCTGGCTAATTTGAATGGACTAAGTAGAGTAAGGGCAAACAACGAAGGAGACGGTAACAATAACCCAAGAAGAAACAAACCCCGAACGTCTAAAGAAACTTAATTCAAAAGTGCTAGGCCTACTACTGCTGCCATGGACCAACTCATCCACCTGCAGCTCAACCACAATTACCCAGCTCACCGCGCCCGTGGTCCTACCCTGAACGACCCAGCGCGCCAGGCTTGAGGTGCTGGTGCATGCTGATGTAATTGAATCTCGAGATTCGATAAGAAAATTTAAAAAACTGCAAGTTTGGGTGTACCGCATTTCGGAATTCGCCGACAAGTTTCATACCAAGTTTGACCTGGAGTGTCCCAGAGACGAACCTCTTCACGAGCACCATGAGGTGGCGCCATTTCAACCCGATTTCATTAGTGTAGCAAACTTTCGGGAAAGTGGACGATCGTTGTTATCAATTTCTCAGGCTTGAGCTTGAAAATTATGTTTGTAACTTTTTAATGCTTTAAATAACAACTCATTTAAAATGGCTATAAAATATATTTATTCTTGTAGGCCATATCTCGAATTTCCACGAAGCGAGGCCACGGGTAATTTCGAATATAAATCTGGACCGATCGCAGATTAAATGATTATAAATCATGAATTTAGGATTTGTGACTTCCAGGTTGAGGTATTTCTTTCAAAAGAAATGAACCTCCAACTTGTGGGCTTATTTCGCATAGAGACGGGCGGGTTTCATTCTGACGTCAGCGCGGAGTTTGAGCACTGCATGCTGGGTATTTTGAGGGCAAGGGCGGATAAAAAAAAAATCACGGCTAGCCATTATTGTTGTTGTAAGTTAGTCGTCTATTGTTAGCTTCCCCACTCTGATATTCGATACTTGTTGGCCCGTTAAAATTTAAAGTTGTGAAAAAGTGAAAACGCGCAGAGCGAGAAAAAACCGAAACAACCATTGAGTCACAAGGCTGCTCCGGTACTAGATGACTTGACCTTGTCCAAAGAAGTATGGAGATTATTTTTTTTTTGTTTTCCATCGGTATATATACATGTACTTGATGACCCGTCTTTTAGAATATTTAGACAAATTTCCATGTCTCCATGTAAAATAATTTTTCTGAGACAGGGTTTAGGAGAATACGGTCTTGACATCGCAGAAAATTGTATCCGGAAACTATCTCTCAAAAGTCAGTAAAGCTGACAATGTAACCCGGTTTGTATACCATAGAAGAAGGGAAGGGATATACTGACCCGAATCGTGCCTGTTTCTGACAAGCCTTTGTTTCCTCCACCCTCCAGGACGATGGCATCAAAGGGGAAGACGCAACCTCCCAATTCATCTTTTTGTTCCTCCGACAGAATCAGTGAGTAGCCATCTTTGGATGAAGCAGGAGAGACCGCTGAATCACTCGCACGTGATGCCCCGTCGTCCCTCGTGCTGCTGCCTTCACCGCTCTCATTGCCAGGCTGTTGGGACAGCTCCTTGTATGCCTTTGAACTTGAGCTCATATCTCAGTCCGTGGAAGTTGCTGAGTAGGTACCGGAGTATTATTTTACTGTGGAGCTTAATTTTCAAGCGCCAAGCATGCAGACTGAACTAGAGAGTAATAACCCACCGGCTTGGATACATGCATGCACGCTACGTAGGCTTGAATTACGAGGCTGATTCTTAAGCCGCTCTTTTCACACTCAAGCGTCAATCCAACAATCAAAGGTCACAGTGGGGTATGGTGGCCCTGAAAGGACATCCCCCTCAATATGGCAACACGCACAACCTGCTCTATCGTAAGGTATTAGTATTTTAATTTATTATATTAAAATGTGCAAACATACAATTAGCAGTCTATATGTAATTCTTACATCGTCTATCGTTTGGACAAACGAAATAAACTCTGGAATATTTCCCAAATAATTATATTTTAACCTTGTTCATCATTTAAAACACTTAAAAAAGAATCCAACACTTTAAATTTTGCATGGGCATCGCAGAGAACCATTGTTCTCTTAACAGTGATAAATCAGAACTAATTCTGTTGGGTTCAAAGTTACAGCTTGCAAAAATCAATATCAATAGTATTAACATAAACACTTCTACCGTGTATGTGTCAGATACCTGCAGAAACCTCGGGGTCACCTTTGGCTCATTAATGTCAATGTCCCATCATGTTTCCAATAGGCCTACATGTATTTGTAAGTCCGTTAGATTTCAGCTCCGTAATCTGGGTGTGATTCGGAAGTACCTAACCCACTCAGCCATCGAGAAGCTTGTCCATGCCTTGATTTCATCTCGTTTGGACTTTTGCAACACTTAGCTCTATCGGCTACTCCGCAATCAACTTGATCGTCTTCGGAGACTCCAGAATTCTGCTGCTCGCATTGTGACGCGAGCTCCTTTCCAAGCTCACATTCCTCCCATTCTGCTTCCTTTGCACTGACTCCCTGTGGCTGAACAAGCTGTGACTGATGGTTTACCAGCGTCAGTGGTGCTGCTCCTCAATACAACATTGATTTGTTACCTCCGTATAATTCACCAAGGCGCCTCAGACCATCTGATGCTTTCCTGCTTGTCATCCCACATACTCCTAATTCATAGGGGAATCGCTCTTTCACTCATGCTGGCCCTTTTCTTTGGAATAAACCCCCTCTTCATATTCGACATTTATCATTGTTTTTTCATGTACTGTATCTATATTTGTTAAGACATTTTCAGTAACTGTCGTATTGCTTTTGATGCATTCTTGTACACGTGTATTATTTTTTGTTTTGTAAAAGTGTTTTGCGCCTCGAGCGTCACTTGCGACGGATTTGGCGAGTATCAGAATTCTTCTTATTATTATTATCATTATAATTATTATTGTATTTTTCGAGTGAACGTGTGACGCCCAGCATGGAGTTGCAAAAAGGGGGGGCAAATGTGACGCATAAGCTACACCCTACAGGCTATTTTACCTAATACACCCCTCCCCGAAAACTGAAAGAAATTCCCACTGGATTCCTACAGCACAAAGGAAAACACAAAAAGTGGGGGGGGGGGGCTTGCCACATGTCGCGCATCGCACGGAATGTTGTCGCTTTGTTTATTTGCATTTTTGGTTTCATTCCATTTGTCAAAATACCACGTCAACTACTGCGATCCCGTATTGTACACATGTCAAATACTTATACAACTGAAGGTCAGACTCCAAATGCCGAAGGAGCATTTTCATTTTCTTGAAAGCGCCAAACCTAAGTTACCTCCGCTCTCCGTGGGATATTTCTTTTATGAATGAAAAAATTGACCTTCTGTTTCGGAGAAAAATTCCACTTCGCTCCCGTGCGCGCAAAACCTTGACACGTCTCTGCGTGCTTATGTCTTCAGCGTTCCCGATGTAGAAAGTCGCGTGAACGTGAAATGAAACGCTCTCTTATTTTATTACAACACTTCGGACCATGTTAGCTCAGACTGAATTCTGTGACTTTTTATAAAGGTACTGTCTTGAACATTTGCATTATAGTGTTGGTTAGGCTTTATCCTCGGCCCAGAGAAAGTGACATCTACGTTTTTCTTGAGGCACGCTCACTCGTCGGAGATTAGATTAATTAAGTTTCAAAGCAATGAGCTTGGACAGTGAAGAGGGTTTTGAAAAGAGTGTTCGAAAGAAGCAGAGCAAATGACAAATGTGAACAAAGATAAACACACAAAAGAAAGCTTAGCGAAAACAACGAAAAGCTTGTTAATTTCAGGCCCGGACTGTCAAGATCCCTCTCAATCTACCATGATGTAAACACTGCAAACTTAATCATCTAACGTTTTAGCAATGAGTTCACAGAATATCCACTAGGAATTTAAAACGGCAACTATTCTTTACGAATCGGTTCTGAATTTCTATCAATGACAAGTACCTACATGTCACTGAGTAACAAACCTCCACCATAGTAAACTTGTTTCAAATGGCTCCAAGCGTGATAATAAACATTAAATGTAAACACGTGACAAGTCACCTTGTGCATTTTTATGTTGTTTGTATGGGATGAAGGAAAGTATCTTCTAGTGGGTGTCGGTACTCAATTAGCAGAACTTCTCGGGAAGGATTTAACGACGGATCCAACCCCACCCCCCACATACACCCACAAATACATGTTTTACATACAAAGTGTGGATATTCCTTTGTTCTCCTGTGGTTAAGGAAACTTGAGGAAAATGCTCCTTCTTCTCCAACTAAGATAACTCCTTCGAGCTCGATTTTTGATGAGGATTTCCTGGAATGTTCCTCTTCATTTTGCCACAGATAACCTTGACCCCAAAACACCTCTGAAACTGTTTTTTATAGAGGGGAGAACATTGTGCAGGTGTGCAAGTCCACACAACGCCATCGCACCCTTCACTATGGAGGTCTTTTGTGGAGAGGTCCACAGTATGCATGCCACGCTACAGCCACCCTCACACACTGCATCGCCTCCCATTAAGAAATTTAGCCTACTGCGAATACATACTGCAGAGCCTGAGGTAACACAATAAATGTTATTGCACTTCGCATTGGTTTTATAACTGGTCATGTGTCTAATAAACCTCATCCATCTCGTTCCCTAACATTAACAGCACCGCAGCCTCATACGCAGAATCAGTCTTTCAGGAATAAGCGGCATTGTAGTATGCGTGAGCATAATGCACACTGTCAAGTTTCGGAGACTGCCAGTCAGAGAAAACAGACCCCGTTCATGTTATGCGTTTTTTGTGCACCAAAAACTCTTTCGCCGTCGAATGCCTTTAGGGAAAGCGAGTTCATTGAAGTTGGCAAAAAAGGGGATTTCTGCTGAATCAGGAAGCCTCGAAGCGGATCCAACACAGTACGACAAGTAAAGGTCCAGGGACGCATTCACGTATCCCCTGGCACGTGGAGTTGATCACGAACAAGGTACCAGCAGAACTGTAGGCTTGTACGGTCAAAACGAGGCTGTTGGTCGGGTTACACCCGGCCGTGTGGCATGTTGGGTATTTACGCAAGACCCCAGGGTGTGCAAGGAGTCGTGATCTGCGGCTTTGTTCGTAATTTAATAAAACAGGTGTAAGTATACCAACTAAAACGAACTTGACAGAGCATGCGTGGCAGCATAGTGAACTGAAGCAAATGTAAACTTTCCACAGAGAAAGAATGGTTTATTACTTCACTTGCAGGTACCACATCTATAGGGTATACTGTAAATATCCTTAGACATAAAGTCGTTCATTTAATGTTAAAAAGCAGAAAAATCTGATACGGTGGCTGCGCAAACACAGTGATCGGCTCGAGACCACAGAGTTCATAAGGTGACGAACGACAGGGAATTATCATGGTAAAGATGAAATGAATGGCTTTGTCACCAAACAATCAAGGGGGCAGTAAATTGATGAATGGGGCCATCGTCAAGGCTCGCAACCAGACAATGCAGGCCACACAATCGGTATTCTAAACGTTCTCCACTGAGGTAAAAGGCAGCATTGGAATCTTACCATACCTCGTGTTGTGTTGTACATAGGTTTTCATTACTTTGATTTTTTTTAGGTCAGAACGCCGGTTCGTACTGCAGGCAAATGCAAAAACGAAGCGAATTTCCTCAGGTACGAAACATATTGCTGCGGAATTCGCTTGAGTCGAAATGTGCTCAACTTTTGTGAATTTTCCGGGCAAATGTTTCATCTAAAGGCTAGGTCATACTTCAGGCGAATGCGAAAAGAATTTGACGTCACAATTAGGCGGCAAAATTTCGCTCAACTTTCGTTCAACTTTTACAAATTCGCAATGCGAATATTCTGACACAAATACACATTCGCGCTCACTTTCGCGCGATATACATGTATGAACCGGCCTTGACGTCTTAACCCTCACAGTCCCAAATCCTCTAATTTCAATGTGATTTTACGCATACACCCTTGGCGGTTAGGGTAAAGGCCAACGTGTTAACCCAGGCACTGATGAGAGTATCTAATATTTTTTCAGTAGGTCTATAAATCATCCCATATTTTTCTGATAGGCTCATGAAAGAATACAAAGAATACCACGGCAGAGCGCAATCGTTTGTGCTACAAGTGATTGTATGGAGTCCGGTCGATTGTCCGCTCAGTCCAATAGAATCTAGGGGTTCATTTTGTGTGAAGATGAAATGAGGTCAGTAAATCCTGAAGCCTTGCATGATATTAGAGCAATGAACACCAAATAATCGCCACTGCACTGCATGTGACGAGCCATGGAGGTCGTGACAATAGCACCTCCGTCTTTATTTGGTGAAGGATGCCTCAAGCAAAAGCCCATCCGACGTCACAACGGCGCGAACAAAACGTATTCAGCTATAGACTGGCGTTTATCCGGGTCCACGACCGAGACGATTTTCCTGGATAGTGCTGGGTTAAACCAGTTTGTTTGGTTTTTCTTTCTTTTTTTCATGCAACCCAAACAAAATAACTAAGGAGGCACTGGAACTTGGTTTACAGCAAAAGAAAGTTGTAAAAAGTTGACGTCCAGAGAAACATTTTCAAACCACTGTTATACTTGTCAGAAGAAGCTTTTTTATGATGACATGCGTTCCTTGTAACTTTTTTGCTACATTTAAAGTCAAATCACACACTGCACCAATAATACGGAAAGGATTTGGGTTGCTATTAATTCGTAATCATCTATCCACTGGACGTGATTTTATAAAAAATGAAGCAAACAAGTTGAAAATGATCAATTGATATGTGCAAGCAACGATCTTTGAGGGTATTACCAAATATGACAATACAGCAAACAAACTGAAATTGATCAATTGATATTTGCAAGCAACGATCCTTTGGGGTATAATTAAATAAGACAATGAGGCAAACAAACTGAAATTGATAAATTGATATTTGCAAGCAACGATCCTTTGGGGTATAATTAAATAAGACAATGGGGCAAACAAACTGAAATTGATCAATTGACATTTGCAAGCAACAATCTTTTGGGGTATAATTAAACATGACAATGAGGCAAATAAATTTAAATGGAATTACGATACCGTCAAGCATGACAAAAGCCTACAGCCTTTGTGCAACTTGGTTGGTAATATGAAAACAAAGTAAAAAAAGAAAAACACAAGTATTACATTTGACACCTTGATAAAAAATAGTGCAAATTGGTTGTAACACAATATGAGATATCTAATAGTACATGCACTTCCAGCAATCATGCACATTGGCAATGGCTACAGATGGTGACGGGACCTATGTCTAAATATACATCATTGTTTGTTTAATTGTATCATAAAGTCCTTAGACTAGAGTTGTTTACCTTACTGTGCTCAATGTATTCATGCCACTGATCATCTTTGGGTACCGTACTCTACTCAGTGATTATGACAACCTCTGTGAAGCAAATTTTCAAGACCTGAACAGACCTATAACATAATGGTGCCGCACTTTTACGTGTATACTTTCCTATGGCTGAGAGGTAAGGCATAATCCACAGGAAAACGCACATGTGAACAAACCATGGCATGGGGCTGCCGAGTACAGAATGTTCTCCCAACAGAACCCCACAGAACCAGCACTTCCCAGCAAGCATGGCTGAAAAAAGCATGCCAAGTCCCAGGCAGTGTTTGGAGTCATGCTCAATCAGCATGCACACTTGACTACAGTGGCGTATCCCGGTGTTGGGTCCTTGGTCCAGGAAGAGAAGTTGGGAAGTAAATTTGGAACGACTGGCAATTTGTTTTTTCATCTATCAAAATGGGTCATTGTTAAGAATGTCAACCAGCAGATATTTCCAGTGATTCGATCTTTGGTGCCCAACAGACACACTGTAATTGCTAAGCTATAACTCCTGCTCCAGGCACCACTGTGAAACTGGGCCCGAGACTCTACCTTCCACTTTACACGAGGGCACTGCAAGGGGGGGGCGATGGGGGTGCTTTTGCCCTGGGAAAAACTTTTAAAAATAAAAAAGCATAGTAAGGAAAAGAAAATAGTACAGGAGATAAAAAGAGAATGGAAATCAACAATTTGCTCGAAAGACCCCTCGAAATTGGCACTCTGCACTGTTAATGGTTTCTCTATTCGTCGCTGAGTCCTTTGTCCCCCCCAGAAATGCACCCCCACCTCTCCCCCCCCCCCAAAAAAAATCCAGCTGACGCCTATGGCTTTGCATAATTTTCTTTCTTCCGTTTTATTTGTTTGGCTCTTAGTTCAGCAACTTCCCCATGTCACTGGGAGAGAGAATCTCGATCCAGTAGCCGTCAGGGTCGGATATAAATGCAATGTTCTTCATTTTTCCTGTGGAATCAGGAGTAAACAAGCCAACATGCATATTAGGCCACAAGAACCAAAGACACATTCTACCAGGGGCATGTTTTCGTGACTGTGACCAGAAACATCTTTCTGGCTTGGACACTGATTTGGCCACTTTCCAGGATCCGGTTACACCTAGTGATTTCATTGTTCTGACCAGCTAAAAACCGAAGGTTCACTGCGGGTTCAAAACGGCAAATAGTTAGTTGACCATCTCATCGCCGTCTTCAAAATAAATAAAGTGTGTCCCAAGATTTGTTGTTGCATGCAACAAACTTTCTTCTATCGTGTAAAAAGAGAGAACAATAGTAGTAAAGAACTTGGCACATAATGAGTGAAAATGACATTTGTCAGCAATGTCCTTTGCTACCTAGCACTTTGTCTCTCTCACGTGATGTAACCATTACTGGCCATTTAGAACATGCTTCTGGGTACAGGTCATGAGAACATACCCCAGATAAATGTAATAATACTTAAAAACAATTTTGAAAAATTACAAATTCACTGACCCTGTCATACATTTAAAGACATTAGTACACTAAAGATCAACACTGAAGAAGTTTTCAAATGGAACTATCAAAAGTGTGAAAATCACTAGACAGAAAGTCTCGTCTGGATCTGGAGAGCCTTTGAACAGACCAAGTTTAACAGAATGTTAGGACCAGTAGAAAAGTGGCGTTTTAAGCCCTCAGCCATCATTAACAATGCCAATTTCCCCCACAAAATCAGCAGCAGCAAGGCATACATACCATCGCTGGGCTTTTTGACAAAGGCGACTCCGAGTTCCTCAAACCTCTTGCAAGCAGCTTCAACGTCGGGGACGGAGATCCCGAGATGGCCTGAGAGGAATCGGGAATCATGAAGAAATAGACTGAATTAATTCCTTTCCCTTGGATTTTACAACATTTAAAACAGGATTGAGGATAGATTGGAAAAGTCCAGGTTTTACCTTGCACTGTATTCCTCCCACTTCACAATTCAAAGCCACTCAAAATTTGGCTCTAAGTGCCATACAGGTCCTTGTTATCTGGTTTTTTAAAATAAATTTGAAAAGGATTTCAAACCAACAAGGGTTCAACACGAATTCTACTTGCTTTGCTTTGCTGAGCAGCTCAAAGCGGGTAAAACCGTCACAGGTTTGGGTCTGCAAAAAAGTCCCATTCACTATGGGGATTGAGGAATGGGGTTTTTTAGCTCTGGCCTGAATTGGCAGCCAACAATGAATGCCGTGAGATGTGAGTTCCACCAGTCATATAGCAAGGATCTCCATGTCAGTTGTATGAAACATTCTGGTCCTGCAAGTGGTTCTGAGTTCAAAGACAAAGCCAAATGATGAGGCAAGACTGACTTTTGAGAAAGAGCCCAAGGCAATATATCTTTCAAGTCAACTGTAAACTGAAGGTTTTCCAGAGTTGAAAGAAACTACATGTACAAACTCAATTTCCTTGTGGGAGGGAACAACGGCAGAGGAGAGTGATGACCTTTGTTGACCTTTCCAGGATAGCATTAACCCCAATCATCTAAAATCCTCCCCAATACATCTGTTTTTTAATACAATTTTGATGAAATCAATTATATGAGATTAGTTTTATCTTCCATTCTTGTTGGCATCAGGGGATGTAAAATTTGATTTATTAGATGTTCTTTTTAGAAACATGAAAGACTCAGAGTTGCACAAAGGCTTGTGAAAAAAACAAATTCACAAGGTTACTCAAGTGCACTAGTAAGGAGAGACTGTGGGTTTGAGTCTTACCCTAGTACGTCCGTATGATTATAGTTCCTACTGAAAGGAAAACTGTATCGACATACCAAAGCCTCGGGGGTCCTTGTTGCCATTGTGGTAACCTGAGAAAGCATCGTCAACATCTGTTCCATAGTTACTGGAGAATAAGAAGTAGGAGAGGTTTTAACTATCACACTAAATGTCCATGCTGCTGGGGTAGTTATGCTCCAATGTGTTTTGTGCAGGCAGTGTGAGTTTTCTTAATGCATTGCTAACTGTGATCGGCTTTGTGAAAATGAGTCACAAGTTGCCAGAGCTTATGAGTTGAAGGCCATTAAATGAATCTTGCACAACATAAGTCAACAGGAGTTCTCCACATTCTTTCATATAGGCATCCATTTTCAGCAGGATACCAACCTGTGCGACACGACAAAACACAGAGCACAATTTCTTCTTTCCAATACAAACTACCACAGGCTCAACAGTGGCTCTGTGACTCATTTTCACAGAGTGAGTTACGATTATCTTTAGACCTGTTTTCTTACTTGTGTAGGGCAAGGAATGTTTTGTACAATGAGACATTTTTGTGCGGCACACATATTAGTGAGAACTGAAGCCTACCAGTACTTTTGCTTGGTAAACAAGTTCTGCCCTTAACATATGCCTGTGCCTGAGAATTGCACAAAATCGGTTCCTGGGTCTTTATACTGCCAGCCTGAGGACCAGTGGAGACTTTTCTCAGATGTCACTAAAACCTTGGAGCTCCTTTTGAAGGTTTCATACGGCAGTCAAAGAAAATCCATTCAGCAAAAATTCCTGAATCTCAGACAGACCATTAGGTCCACTGGATTACTGGGGGAAACTGAAAACTGGCACAATTACACCTGCTAATGTCAGTGATTTGATTGAATGCGCTTTTGTTTAGGTCCAACGCTGTCTAACCGCCTAACTTATGTTGCATGGATGAGCTGGATTTATGAACAACTCACACAAAGACTCACTAAGTGAGTTCCACTGTGGCGGGCTGCTGGAAAGTCCATCGAGTTCTCTCCTTCTCATCTTTGGGTATGTCCTCCTCCTTGCAGTATCCCATGAAGAAGAGAGAGAACTTCATCGAAGGGAAGTCAAAATGCCTCAGGAGTCTGTTTAAAATAAAAATCAAAGGCTTTGCCTAAGATTTGTAATGACTTGCGTCAGTGACTCGACTTGAGCCACAAGTTTTGGCAAATGACTCGATTAGAGTCACTGTGAGCAATGGCTCAACTTAACTCAATCTCTCTTCAGAAGACCCAACTCAAGTTAAAATAAAGACTTGAGTCCCAAAAATAAAGGGAAACTCTTAGCAAAAAGATTGCTGCAATGACTTTATGGTGCCGGTTTATAATGTTCATGTCATGTTATAATCATCAAGAAATGTTGATGTAGTGTGACCACATGTAATCACCCAGAGGTAAATTTAGAAACACCAGAAAATGACTTTCTCTCATTTTTTTTGGTTCAAATATTTGTGTCTCAAATTGACTTGAGCTGAATACTTGACTTTTTGGGTCTAATGACTCGACTCAAGTTACTCCGTTGCAATGACTCAATTTGACACAAGTCACAAAAATTGACTTGTTACAACTGACAACCTTACATCAACGTACATGTACACTGCCAACAAAACAGCCAAATGTCAACTCACCTCATCCCAAGAACACGGGTGTAGAAGTCAAGTGACTTTCTTGGGTCTTTGATTCGGATCATCGTCTGTTGCATGATGAAATCCTACAGTCAAACAAAGAGTTTTCAGTACCTCTGTTCACATGTATTTAATAGGTCCTCACAATACTACTTCCAACAACAACCCTTGAAATGTGCCTTTGTAATTCAACTTCAGCTTTTGTTATGCTAGTTGAAAGGTATTTTGATGGTTCCGAATGCAAAATTCCATTTTCATGAGCAAAAATATTTCATTCAGGTAGAAAACCTTCATGTTGCATTGGTTTGAGCAAAGAATATAGTTGGAAGTTTTCCCATGTTCCTGTTCAAAATTTCCTTTTTTTTAGTTGATTCATTGTTGTCTGAGCGCGCAATAAAGCCAGTGACCAGTGTTTTCTCAGAAATACTTTCAATGAGGAAATTCTGGGTTCACAATCTGAACAGAAAAACCTTTAAATGAAGCAGCGTCTTCCCTGACTTCTATCACAGCAACAAACAGAAACCTCTGTTGCACGGAAAAGCATGGCCAACTGTAAATTTCCATACATCTACCTTAAACCCTCAACGGGCATGCCAGCTTGTTTTCTTCCATTTCTGACGAGTGTAAAGTCAAAAAGAAACATGCTAAAGAAAGCTTCTTTCCCTTGAATCTGAACCCTTTAAAACTCTACAGACAATGCTCAACGCTGTCAGTGAATTCAGCCCGACACAAGTCTGTCCCCGCAATTCAGTCCTGAATTTCCCAACAAAAGAAATTGTGCCTTCAATTTGAGGCTGGTTAGGACAAGCCTAAAATACCAGAAAAATACAACGTACATGCACAAGAAGATGGGTGCACTGTAGCAAACTTTAGCCCTCGATTCCCAACCAGCCTGGAATCGAGGGCACAATTTCTTTTGTTGGAAATATAGAGGCTTTTGCCAAAATAACCCTTTAAAACTGATGACTTCAAGGTAGACTATTTACATACTTCTCTGGCTACTTCTATCAAGTGTGAAACTTAATTAACACCACCCTAGAAGCATAAATGCCATGTTTATGAGTCTTAAACTGCCCAATGCTTTATGCTGTAGTTTGGTCATACTCTTTGGCACCAGGGTGGAGATCTTGCTAACAAACAGTCTTACAGTGAGAGTTCGGCATACAGACATCATTAATTCTCCCTTATAGTGGTTAACCAGCCACCACAAAGCTATAAAAAGTCACATTTAGTAGTGAAAATATCAAAGCATTTACTTGAAAAACACTTAAGAATTTTTCAGAGGCATGTCCCACACAGGCACTGGAGGTAAACTACTTTAGAGTTGAATTTTCCGAGCAATGAACGTGTGAGCCACTCGCTTTGTTTAAGTGTTTGTAATTTGTATGTGGGCTTGTTGTAGAGCGAGTCTAGTTGGGTGTCAGTCACTTCACCCAGTTCCACTTCGTCCCATGTCATTTCACCCTGAACCACTTTGCCAAATTGCCATTTAGCCCCACCCCACTTCACCTGTCCACACATCACCCCACCTACTTTGCCCCATTTCCACTTTGCCCAAGCTATGCTTGATTCTGCTTGGAACCTAACGCATGAAAAAGCAAGGCGCCTCTTTTATAGGTGTCTTGGATTGACACCATGACAACGGATTTGGTAATAAAATTGGACTAACGTAACGATATCGCTCCTTTAAATTTTCCTCAAAGTTTCTCCTGTAGTCTTTTATGGATCCCCCATACCGCTTCCCTTGAAGTCCTTTCGTTCATGTGAGCCATTACTTTTGTGAATCCATTTCCACACTTGACTTTTACGGACAGAAATTTTAAAAATGCACGTTTCTCCTTTTTATCCTCCTTAGAACATTCACTAGTACCCATCAAACACATAATGCTGTGACACCTGTTGAAGGTCGCACAGATACGACTACAACATTTTGAAATAACGTTAAGCATAGAAAAGTATTATAAAATATGAAAACACTGTGATAACATTACTCAAATGCCCCAAATCTGATTTTTTTCCCTGATGTGTTAAACTAATGTTATCCAATTGTTACTGTGTAATATTTGAAACAATAGCTAAAACGAATTTTGCTAAATTAATATGTTTATGACATTAGTTAGAAGTTATAAAATTTGTACCTCTATGATTTGTCAACGTTAACCGAATATGCATTTATAGCAGTGCTTGAAATTCTTTAAAGCTGTTTTCATGATGTTACGATGTAGTGATGATAAAATTCTTAAAACATTTTATAGATGTCTGATAAGAGCCAACACCTCTTTGAAACTGGTTGATAATATAAATGTTAAAAAAGTGGATGTGATATTTTCACATCATTTGAACAATAGTGGCACTGAAATGCTTGAACGATGTGAATTCAATATATTTGTATTGCTGTAACCAACATATTCATGTCAAAGTAAATTATCACACAAATGCAATGTAACAGTGCTGATAACATTTTCAAAACATTTTTTAAGGGCAATGAAATTTGATATATTGTTTCTCATCAAGGGATTTTTCAAATTTACATTTGATTCTCTTTTCATTCGTCATTCTTTTCTATCATGGAAATAAAACCCTTTTTATGACTTCATCTGGCTTCAATATAGTGCGTCAAGCTGAAGCGAGAGAAGATTTGGAATAAGATCTATATGTCACTCTGAGAATAAGATCTGTCACTCGTGATTGTGTGCTGGTCTGATGCTGTTTGACCGCTGGATTGCAGCGCATGCCGTTGCCCGTTCAGGCATGTTTTGACTTTTATTGACTATTGGGTGCCCCACCAAGCTGACAAGGTGCCCATGGGCAGTCAGACTTTAACTATTTTGTGTTCTGATGACTGGGATTGCTGGAATATAACTTTCGATGTTGGGAGTTGGACTTTCCATGAAGTTTTGCCTTTTTTCAATAATGAAATTTTTTGATGCGGGGCCAAAAGCATATGCAGGCACTGACAAGAAACAATAAATCTGATTTCAGTAGCCTAATGTCAAAATCAACGGAACATTCACTACATTTAAAATAATTCAATTCAACATTAATGTTTGAAACTTGCTTATTCAGTGTAACAAATTAGTGGATTTGCCTGAAATGGAACCTTTAGATTGGCTGGACAATGCTGGACAGACACACCGTCGACAGCGCATTGCAGCCTTCACCTAGGTCAAAACTAAACAAGACGTTTAAACTTACATTGGCGCAACGTGGCAATGGAACAAAGTAAGTGGAAATGGGGCCTAAGTGAGGATAGGGTGAAATGGCAATGCATGGGGCGATCGGTGGTTTGGGAGGAAGAGGTCTGGGGCGAAATGACTGTACAGTTGCACATGCATGACACGGTTGATGATCTACCCCCCAGAACCGTGGGGTCCGACGTCCGCTCGAGGGCCCCCACAGTCCTTGGGAGTAGGCCCTAATGCCGTGATCCTCTTTGAATCGATTAACCACCACCTTTGTGCTTGGATCGGGTTTCGAACAACTCGCATCAATATCCTGCTGTGTGACGGCGTTTGCCATGATGACGATGTCGCCTGCTGCTACGCCGTACTACTTCTGCTGTTTCACTGCTTTGTCAATGTCATCGATTCTTTTTGATTGACAGATCGAAGGTCTGAGGCATTTAGCACGTACTCAGCACTCGGACGGCAAAGCTAGCCACATGTGCATGTAATGTACATGTATAATATACATGTATGATGTGCATGTACACGTCCAGTTGTTACAAACCATACAGCATGCAGGCTTGCATCTCGCTGTACCGCCCTCAAGTGGTCACAGCCGCGAAAATTGAAAAAGGTCAAATTAGTCAGGATTCCCACATTCTGTCTTTTTCTTTATCGTACAAAATTGTAAGGATACCAGACTATTGCTTGAGCGCGGAACGTTTCATGTTCTCGTTTCAATTGTCAATGCGTACGGAACTTGAAAAATTTGGGTAGGCCTAGCTCTTTTAAGTTCTTAAGTAACGGCTGTAGCAGTAGCAGTATTTCCGGTTTCGTCTTGAGTTGTACCATTTCTTCCCTTTTTTGTGGATAACAGCATGGAGGTACCGGGGGTAGGAAAAGAAGAGTAACGAAGCCTGATAGCCTTGGTCACATGGTGAGTGTATCCATGGTTGACATTAGCTAAGTGGAGCGTTCGTAATTCCCCTTTTTCGATTTTGGACGGGATCGTCGTACTAACGCTCCACGCCTGTACATATAATATAGGCCTAGTAAGGTGGAAACGGTTCTCAACAAATCCAAAATACTGGCTTCCGTCAATGTCCATATGGTAAATGCCAACATCAAACGGTTGGGGCTTCAATGATAATTCTGACTTAAAGTCTGTCAAAATCCGACCGTTTTGCTCTACACATGCACTGCACTTGAACTTTTCACCGCCTGTACCTTTCGAATGCGTGTATCGAGATTTATAATACGCAATATCTCTATCAATGCTATACCTTGTGATTCAGGCTAAGCTTTTGCATAGGGACCACCGTCTCTGGCATGGACTGGTTCCTTTTGTGCCCTGCTTATCCATTGAAAACAGTGTATTGATGTAAGGCATCTCTTATGTAACTACGCAAAAGCTTACCCCAAATCACTTGGTATAGCAACAGTGTCCTCAGTGTGAAGAATACTGTTTGGGTATTGAATTCATACTGTCCAAAGATGGCTGTTCTGTCAGAAATACCTAATGTTTGTTAGAATCTCCAAAATGCACAAGACCCATTTAAAACAGATGAGAACAAGGGCAGACGTTTGCGTTGAAAGAAATGGGAGGGGGCATGTTGAATGACCCGGGGTTGCTGCAAGAAAGCCCCAAACCGTGGTTGTCTTTGAATCAATGATTTTGGTAGTGTACTTAATGCTTCACACTTTGCAAACCTGCGTGATGCATCAGATGCAAAGCCATTTCTGACATCGTCCATTAAATCACTTTGTGCTCAGTCATGTGTGACAGAAATTTAGATTTCTTGGTGTGAGATGAAAGAGGACATCACACTGAAACCTTTTCAAAAAATAATTAGTTTGCATTCAAGAAACAGATCAATTAATCTCGGTTTCCTGTTTTTTAAGACACCCTGTACAGTGTACATATACTAATTTGGATTTCAAGCCAATGTGTTCCTTCTGTTTTTCCCTTCCTCCATGATACAACAAAGGCAACAATGGAAGGACAGTTTCTCAGCCATCCAGAATCTACTCGGTCTAGGTGAGAATAATTATTCATCCCTTTTTTCATCTGGCAATTACTGTGTGAGGACTTGGCCCTTCTGAAAGGCTGGTTTTTGTGTACTTGGCACAAAAGTTAATGTGAAGGTGATATGAGGTTGTGAGGACTTTACAGAATTTGACATTTTTAAGCCCAGCCACTATTGGTACATGTAAATTTTGGGTGCATCTCCAACCTCCAGACCATATTGGTTTTCCTGTAACTTGTGACTTTCTTATTTTAAAGGGGCTTGTTTTGTTTCAAAATAGCATCATTTTGCTCAGTCTTAGAAAGTCATTAGTAAAACTTTAAATATCCATTGCAGGTACATGTAACCTCAAAACATTGACACAGTAGAAGCTAGTCCAATAAAGTACCACTGTTGGATCTCTGGTGGTTGGAAACCTCAAAGGGCATTAGGCCAAAGAAATGCATGTACCCACAGTCCAACTGTTGTTTCCTGTTGTACTCGCCAGACTTCTCACTCTGACATTCGTTATAAATGTGTGTTGAGGCGGCCTAAACCCCCAAAATACTGTAGAACCAGGAATAGTACATTGATGTAAATCCCCTGTTTTCCTTGTTTTTGTTAGGTCTGTCATTAAACCAGTTCCACTACACAGCTATGTGGACCAGTTTGAGAGGTTGTATCAGCAGAGCCCAATGGCCAAGGCAAGTCGGTAACTCGGATGTCATGAGGGGGTTGATTGAATCAAGCTGCTGGGCGCCGACTGGTATGCCAAGCATGGGAAATGTGGGGCAAGCAAAATTAGGTCACTGTCCAGATTGCCAGGCTGAGATTTGCTTGTGGCTGGAGTTGTAATGAAATTGGCCAAGATGTCCTCGGTAGATTCCTGAAGTAGTCATTCCTGTTAATATCAGGACCCATTTCTTTCAAGGTCCAAACAGTGTCCAATTCAACATTTCATCACTTTTGTGTTGTCAAAGGTGTAAAGTAAGCACTAACACTTCTTACATCACAGCTGCTGGCTGCTTGGAGGCACGGTTGCCCAGTCATCCATCAGTTTAGGCCATTCTGGTCAAGGTTTGGGGTCATTGGCAGATGCAGTGGGGGCACGGAATAGCGACTCATTCTCTTACAATGACCAGTCGATTCTTGTCAACCCCTACAGATTTTTCAACAAGGACTGACCCAGTCAACTACTCCTAAGGGGCTTGTTCCTCAGGACAGTCGGGCCTGGGAACTCCACAGCAGCTAAAAGTATCAAGCTGGCCATATCTTCCACAAAGGGAAGACCCCCAGGAGCTCCGTGTACAGTCAAAGATGCCCGTCCCAAGGATGACGTCAGCATTGAACTCGAGGTAAACGCCAGCGCGGGTTCAGGCATCGAATTGGGGGAGTGTTCGTTGATTAGGACAAGTGGCGAAAGCCACGACACATCTGGGACATCTCAGTCTAATGGAATTGTTTGTGATGATGTTGTCTCAGATTCCTCAATAAACCAGGGAGAAGTCGGGATCGGTGTGAAGACGCTGCTTTCTCCGCAGCCCAAAGTGCAAGGTCCCTCTAGGCAGAATGAGAAAAAGACGATGAGGAGAAAGCGAGCTCCTAACCTGCACAATCTGATCAAGAGGCTGACATCCCCCAGCAAGGCAGTTGCTGCCACTCCTTCTAAAAAGCACACAGGGAGTTGTGTTAATGATGTATCCGAAGTGATGCATGAGGAGGAGATGGACAGTGATAGAGAAAGTGTTTTGGACAATACTCCCAGGAACTCACAAGGGGAAATGGATCATGAATGGCAAGACTCCTGTGATGTAGATACGTCTGAGCTGGAACCAGTTACTTACTCGGGAGCTACGAAGAGGACAAGGCAAACGAGGTCAAGTTCTCAGCTGGATGTAGACCCAGTGTCAATCATGTCCCCAAAAGATACGCCGATCCCCAGCGGCTCAGGCAGTAAGAGGAAATGTGTGCCACAGCGGCGACTTTTGCATGACCTCCGTCTGGCCACCAACCGAGATCTCGCCAGCCGTTCTCCTGGGGCATCGGAACAGAACATGGAGTACCGAATGAGACCTGTCGACCTCCATCCTGGCGACAAGAAGTCTGCAAAATCTGACGACGAATGCCCGGAGCATGAGGACACTCCCCAAACTGGCCTGGAATGTTATACCGCCCCATCAGGGGGACCTGCAAGCCGCGAAGCTGCATTTGCCGAAGAGACCCCGGTCAATCAAAGAGCTGTCGGGAAGACCAGATCCAAGGGAAGAAGGCCGGATATCGGTGGAGTGATCAAGAGCTTACAGGCAGGGCAGGAGCTGGGTGTAGACACCCCAAGATCAGAAGTACCATACACTGAAATCACGCTCACTAGCACCCTGAAGGAGGATGAGACCAAACAACACAAGGCTTCTTCGTCACCAGTGGGTGGACCAGACGAGAATGTCGATTGTAAGGGGGCAGATGATAAGGAAGACAAGATTGAGGGAGAGGAAGGAAGAGCCGAGAATGAAGACATGAGGGAGGAAACCAAAGACACTGGTAAGAACAAAGTATCCCTTGATTTGACTCAGGTACGGGTAGTTATTAAACTGGTGAGGGAAGAGCAATTTTTTTAGTATGTTCAACATCGTAGGTAGTACAGGGGTGAGATTTATTAGGATTTTTCCTGATTTCAGGATTTTTATCATTAGGATTTTCCTGATAACAGAATTTTCAAACAATCTGTTGTTTTAAATCTGGAATATCCCAAGTTTGTGATTTTTTGTTACATAGAAAGGTTGATATAGGACACAAGAAAAGGGTGTTTCATTGGGCAAATACAAATGTATAACAGGGACCCTACACTGCAGTGGGGTCCTCAGAAATAACAGGGACCCTACACTGCAGTGGGGTCCTCAGAACTAACAGGGACCCTACACTGCATCCTCAGAACTTTTGTTGATGACTTTGTGGATTTTTTACTTTTTCATCCAATCTCACCCCTGGTAGTCAAGTTAAGTGTGTAAACCTGTTTCCCATCCAGCAACATCCAGAGACTCGGCTGAAACGGAGTATAAAGTCAAGAGGTCAACACGTGGACAGACGGAGAGACTGACCAACAAGCAGCCAGTACTAAGGGGACAGCGGGACAAACATGAATACAAAGAGATGACTCAACCTGAAACGCTGCAAGCTCCAAAGGTTAGCGCCAGGCTTGTGATGTTCAACCGAAAATTCCTCGTTGAAAGGAAAATCTGTAGAATACCCCATTGGATTTTTTAATGACTTTGGGGTGGTGTTATTTGAGCTGAAAATTTCAACTTTTGAAACAAGACAAGATGTACTTTTCCCTTTTTAATACAGAGTACGGCCTAAGTCAAAAATGCATGTACTGATTTGTTAGAGCCCTTTGAATCATATTTGTTCGATATTTACTTCCATAATCTGGTTTTTTTTTTTCAACACTGGGGTGAACAAACAGCAATATTTACCACCACAGCAGGCCACGCGTGGCGGCCGAGTTCAACACACACTCTGCCTCCACGGACTCTGTGTGTGTACAAAATAAATGGTGCGTTAGCATGTCATGAAGTTGGCCAGAAGTTATAGTCAAGCGGCACATCGCAGCTTAACCCGTCAGTCATGCCTGTGTACAGATACGATCCAATCATGTTCACACATCCTATGTACTCTACACACAAAGTGGTATGGAGTGGTACTTTTGTACGTGTAACTGTCAACAAATGATTTCTGGAATATTTCAGACCCCCAGTCACTGTCCCTTTCCTTTTTCCTCACTTTCAGAAACCAGAGACAATAATCAATAGATGGATCATCAAGCCTGTCCCTTCTTGTAAGGGAGTGTGTGTAGAGGGCCACAGGATGTAAGTACATGCCTGAACAAATCCCTCTCCACCTGTGCATGGTGCACTGTCACTGTAGACTTACTATACAGTTCATGCACAAGGATTATCAAATTTTCACCGAGCTGTCATAATGCAGGTGTGAATACATTACAGTCGACTCTCGGTAATACGAGGTCTGGTAAGACGAGATTCCGGTTAAGACGAGTATATTTGCCGGTCCCGACTGAATTATGCACATTCCTATGAGGAAAAAAATCCATACTACGAGCTCGCTTGTTATGAGATTCCGTTCAAGACGAGCATTTTGGGGGCCCCAGTTGCGTGCAAATGTATTGTTATCCGTCTAATTAGCACAAGCGTTTTTGAAGGCAACTTGTCAATCAGTCAATCCTTTGAATTCGGAAAGGCGCTTCCGTAATTGATTGTGTACGGCAGTAAAGCACTGCGGTTTTCACTCACCAAGTGAAGCCCTCTACTGGCCGATCCACACCACCAATAACTGGTTCCCGCCGTTTTTGTGCAACAAGCGCAGCACTGATGTTGGTTACCACCTAAAATGTTAATGTACTTACGTGCGTGCGTTATATGACGATCTCATCGCGCTGGGGTCGTAAAACGGCATCGCTCCAATCATGCATCCTCCAACTCGACTTGACCAGTTTCTTCGTTCTTATATTACGTTATTGTTCTTTGTTTCAAGTTTTTATTCATAAAAAGTACAGTTATTTCTCACTTTCATAAACATAAACTGTTTTGAAATTAAATTCCAAACCACACGTACGTGCATACAAAGTACATGTAGGCCTACATGTATGTACAGGAAGTTGTACCTGATGTACGCTTAACGATGCGGTCGATCGGTTACACATGCGACAAGCGGGACAGCAGCTTTCGCGTAAGACGAGGTCCGGATAATACGAGCTAATTTAGAAAGGCTCAAAGCCCTTGTATTAACGAGAGTCAACTGTATTAGCATTACTCATGTGCATTTTGCATATTTTAACCAACCACCTCCACATTTGTTCCAACAGTTGTCGGAAATGGTCAGAAAGTGTCTGATGTTTCAGCTTCTGAAAGAAGACTGCCGGCATAGGAAACCAAAGAAAAAGTACTGATACATTTTTTGATTTTGTCAATTTCTTTGACGTTAGCGGTGATAAAGAGGACCAGTTTTGGCACAGCACATCCATCATGGTGCGTATCACCCCGCGTCTGCTGGCCACCAAGTCTGGCGCCCTCTACCGCTTGGCTGGTAAAATGGACCGCGCACTGACAATGGAGCAAGGTAGAGTAGACATGGTTATCGGAATTCCTGCGTCAGAAAACCAGTCACTTCTAAAATGCGAGACGCGTCAGTGTTACCAAATTATAATGATTTTGGTGTGTTATTACTTAAAATCCTTCATCGTTGAAGAAACACTGAAAATGAAATATTACTCAAGCTCATTGTCTTAACGTAAAAAGTCCAAATGTCTTTCTGTTGGCATCAAATGGTCATTCATTGTTTTGTATCATTTATCTGATAAAAGAACCTGTCGCATGGACCAGTGTGGTACAAGATAACGTCTGTATAATGGTCTACCATTGAACCTGAGTTTCCCCATTTTGGTTCCCATTTATTTTTGTCGTTTCTTTTTGTTCCCCTCATTCTTGTCTTTGGTGTAGGCTTCTCAGAATCATTAGTACGCAGTTTCCAGAAAGGGTTTCCCGCCAATTGGAGAGAGTTGCTGTACAACCACTACTTGAACGAAGAAAAGAAGTGGGTATTAATTTTGATTCATGAAAAAAAGTTCCTTGAATTAAGATCGAAGTGAAGGAAATGACAAGTCTTCAGTACGGAGGACTGTTCTCAAAGTATGTAATAATTCTGTGATACGCATGAAATTTCCGTTTGCTTGTATCAGTTGAAATTCACAGCATGGGAATGGGATATGGCAGCTGCCATTTGCTCTGAGGGTGTGGATTTTTACATGATGGTGACCATCCTTTGGTGGAAGCTCACTGTGTTTGCTCACACAGGTGTATGCACGGTTGGGGTGGGACATGCATGCGCAACCAATATCTGTTTGAATGTACGGGTCGTCGCATGTGCGCTGGGCGCTTGCATGAGCCCGGTTGAAAAACTTCACACCGGCCTGTCTCTTGCTGATGAGGGTACACTTCAAATCAGGGTGGATTGGGTACATGTATTTGATGTTGCCAGCGCTGAGCACACACAATCAATTCCTGCTGGATTATATGGTCTTCGCATGTGCACCGGCTACCCGGTCAAAATGGTCCCAACCAATCTCTTTCTTGTTAGCGTGGGGGGGGGGCTACTTCTGTACAAAACAAACTATCCAGGAATGCTGTATTACCTATCTGTTCACAGTAAACAGGATGAAAAGTGGCAGTGGATCGAAAGGAATTTCTTGTTGCTATTTGACCTTGTGACTTGAAACAACGGAATAGCCGCTCTGCAGCTTTCAATGATTTGAGAGTAGCTTGGCTCCTTTTTTATCAGGAAAGAACAGCAGAAATGGAGCAGTTCTTTGGTGGAGAAGGAGCCACTCGGAGTGACTCCAGGACCAAGGCGGTCTGATGTCACCGTCCCCGATTCCCTACAGAAAGGAAAGAAAAAGAACCCGATAGAAGTCACCCGTAAGTGTCGCACTTTTTGTGGAAATACTCCACACTAGGTTTTGGTCTGAGTTTTCAACGCTTTGTTTGCCTACCACAAGAATAATTTGTACAGACAGATGAACTGGATTCTGTCAAGCGCTGCGAGTATACTCCTAGTACGCAACAGGCTTTTGTATTGTGAATTGACAAGACAAATAAACCGCTTGGTAGTTTTGAGGGTGCACTTGACCAATATTGGGAACGACCCTGTGACATCCAAAGAGTACCCCATAAACAACTGCTTATGCGTTCTCGCTTGGCAGTGGGGGCATCCTTTGAAATTACCGTCACTGTCAGTAGTCAATGTGGTAAGCTTCAGAAATCCCCAGCAGGGGTTTATCAACAAAAAGTGTGTTCCAAAGTCTTCAACGAGTCTGTGCAAAGCACTTCTTTTCAATACAAGCCTTGAAAAGGCATATGTGTGTCGCAGTTAACCTTGTTTTATCGATGATTGTTTTGCTATTTGAAAGGGTATGTTGATGTTAACCCTAACAGTCCTCAGTCCTCCAACAGGTGAAGGATTGAGGACTGTTAAAGTTAATGGGCAATTCCATGTACATGAGCACAAATGTGATGTCATCCTGGGAAGAAAACCTCCGCGGGAATTAGATTTTTTTACACAAAAATGCTGGAATTTTTATATTCTCTGACCTTGTCCCCTTTTTGTTGGTGAATCAGTTCACATTTTTAATACATTGACACCAAAAGGGTTGTTTTTAGTTTTCATACATGGGTAATTCCAGAAAATAGGGGTCCATTTTTTTTTGTGTCCCTGTCACATCTGACATATGATTTTTTAAGTTGGGAACACATTTTCTAATTTCCTAGAGTGATGAATTAATGCAAATTACCTGCCAAACAAATTGTAATAGTTTGAAATCAATTCCAGTGATATTTCCATGTCAAATAAACAAGGGTCAGATGTAACAGAGACACAAAAATGTCACACCTTTGGAACCCTGACTTCTAGAATTACCCACGTGCACTTTAAAAAAGTAGTAGCACAAAGAGTGTGTGTAAGAAAAATACATCCCTCGCAGGCATTCCAAAATGTCTCTGAGGTACTGGTGAGGTCATGGCAGTACCTCACTGCCTTTGATAGACTATTCCTCGTTTGGCGAGATGTAAAAGATTCCTCCCAGATCAAACATCCCCAGTCTTTTGCATTGCTCAACCTCAGCTCAGAACCTCCGCGTGAAGGACCTCCGACGCTCCAGCAGCGGCCGGCTGATCAAGCCTCCCCTGGCCTACTGGACTGGGCAGCGCGTCCGCCACAACACCTCGCTGGACGTCGTGGAGATCCTCCTGGGCAGCGAGGACTGCACCTCCTCCTCCATCAACCAGATCAGCCTGCAGGACTCCCTGGAGCTGGGGCCCGTACGTAACTTGGGTTGCATGGGCTTTGTACACGAACAGTAGAGTCCACTTTCATACCTAAAGTCTATCGAGTAGCGAAGTGTGACGTCATTTGAACCAGGAAGGGTGTTGCTACTAATGGAGTATGCGCACAGTGCTGGTTCTCACGCTAATGTATTTTATACTCATACATGGTGTATTCACTGCGGTACTTAATTCAAGACCATTCATTGATTTCCATTCCAAGGCTAAATAGGACATGCATATGCTATACAGACAGTGTGGATATTGAAAACGTTGGCAGCTGTGTAGTGAGGGTTCACGGGGGTTGGCACGTATTATCTCTTAGCTTATCTCAATTTGGGGTATCCAGTATAAGCCAGATCAAGCTGGTCATATATTTACATAGCAACGACTGTGTGCACACAGGTTTATGGATGTTTGGCACCAGACATGCTGAGCATGTATGATCAATTTCTGTTTGGATGTACGGTCCTTGCATATGTCCTGGGCGTCAGTGTACGAGCATGGTTGGAAAACCGCCTACTGGCCTGTCTCTTTTTTGCAGGTGAGGGTGCATATCAACTTGGGGCTGAAAGGCTAATCAGTCTTGGAGATTACTTGATATGCATGTGCTAGTGTGGTGTGACCATCGATACCGCATAAAAAGACCAGATGGGCAGTGGGTTCACATGTGGCCATTTACTTTGCGACGACTGTACGCCATTTTGTGATCCCTCATGGACCCACAGAGAATGAACATACATGTAAAGTTTACAGCTAAATGCGACTTTGTACATGACCGGGGTAAGTGCAGTTATACTACACTGACATGAGCTTATTTGGTTATCCTTTAAGAATCTGTAACCTTTTTGTTCCCACCACAGAGAGAAAAGAGAGCAATCAAACGCTCTGCCAACACCAGTAAGCTTCATGCATCGTCAGCGGGAAGGAAGCACAGACGGCAGTTGAAAACTGAGCACAGTGGTGCCGACGAGGAAGGCTCATCTTGTCTGGATCCAGAGGCCAAGACAAGCAAAGGAGACGGTGAATATGGCCATGGTGCCAAATTGCCAGCATCAGAGAGGAAAAGTAAACACAGTCCTCGAGGAACTGGGCCCAAACGAGGAGACAGGAGGAGGATTGTCCAGTTGAAGGGTACAATCACTGATTCTTCCGACAACATGGAAGTCCCAGCCTCCAAGAGACACGATGACGAAGACCCTCTAGTGCTGAAGTCAAGGAGAAAGTCCAGATACCCACGCAAGAATCTAAAGAATAGATGGCGGGAAGAACTGCAAGGATCTGCGGAAAGCTGCAGCTTAGATTATCCTGTTGCAGATGTAGAGACCGACAACACAGCTTCAACAAGCTCTGTGAAGCCACTTGAAGATCCTGAAATTAATGAGGTGAAGCACAAAAAGAATGAGAGGGTGAAGATTCAGTTGTCAAGTCAGCGGCAAGGGAGTAGGCAGCCTCCCCCTCCGAAAAAAGAAAGAGCCAGAAGGGACAAAGGGAGGGTATCATCTCAACCTCAGCCCAGAGCATGCATTTCACCCCTTTATTATCAATTCAGCCCACCATCAGAGGTAGAAAGTTCTCACCCTGCGAGCCAACCTGCTCTTGGTAAAACTCCCACCAGCAGATGGAAGAACATTGGTGATGCAAGCAGTAGCATTGTTGGCTGCGCCTCTGACTTGGAGAAAAACAGTGAGAGCCGCGGGAGGAAAGTCACAAATGAAGAGGGAGAGAAAATGAAGTTGTCTAGGGGAGATGGGTCCGGAGAGTCGCTTGGATCGTTGAACCTTCAAGAGGAGATCCTGGCCGTCGTTGAGAAGCACAAACAAGGCAGGATCGCTCGGATGAGAGAGCGGAGCTCTAAGATCAGAGCACCATCCACTAGGGACCAGTCCAGTGTCGGGAAGTTACCAAGCGCTTCGGACGTCTATGAGCTGAGCGACGATGAGGAGGATGAACCTATAAAGCCGAAGAGAGTTCCTTACGTTCCCCACGGTGCGTCCACCAACACTACTACGGGAGAGTCGGTCAGCAACTGGAGTGAGGAAGGAGATAAGAGTGTCAACATGACATGGGTGACCAGAGCCAAACCATACAGGCGGATCTATGGGACCCTGGAAGATCCCCAATATCGAACTGATGAAACCTCCACAGAAACCACCACCATTACCACAACCACCACTGGTGAAACAGACGACAGCATCGTCAATCCTTTAAACTCTGACAGAGAAACAACCACTACCAAGAGTAGTTGCGACGAGGAAGCCTTGATGTTGCAAACAAGAGGCCAGAAGAAAATGCTCAGTACTCGTCAGAAAGGGACAAGGGCAAGAATGGTCAGCAGGCCAGTCCTAGACCAGACGTCGGAGGATGAGCAAGACCAGCTCTCCCAGAAGCCTTTCACTTCGAGGAGCCTGAAGAGAACAAAGCAAAAATGCACCCCTCCAGAGACCTCATCTGAAGACACGGACAACACGCTCGAAGGGCAAGACGCAGCAATCTCCCCGAGGCAGCAGGCTGCATCTGAAGACACAGATGAGACAGTCAAAGTCCTGGATGGACCCATGCAGAGAGGCCGAAGCAAGAAAGCCATCGTCATCCAGAGGCATCAGCCCAGGCGGAACTGCAAGAAGAGTGGAAGTGAGTCGGACTCACATCAACCTGTCAAAGAAGCCCGGAAACCTGCAGCCCAAAGCAGAAAAAAGCCAGCACCTTCCCGGAGAAAAGGTCTTCTTGAACAAAGCCTGGAGGAGACAACTTCTGAATGTGAAAGATGGATTCCAGGCCAAAATGGAAAAGGCAAGGTGGGCTCTGACACAACATCAAGAGATGCTCATGGGACACGAAGGGGGGCCCCAAGAAGGTTGGATGTAGAGGCAGAGCCAGTCAGAGGAACATCCAGGATTGAAGCGGATGGAAAGTCAGAGTTTGAGAATAAGATGGGCGTGCATCAGAAAGACGAACCAGCTCATCCTCGAAGGTGAGCTCCATTTAAAATTGGGAGTCTTGGATACACTCACAAGATCACTGACAGTTTTCTTTCAACAGAGATCTCAGCACTTTGAGTACAGGTTTATTGAACACTCCCAAACCCGAAGAACAGACTGGATCACTTTACCACCAGGTTGACTAATGTGGCCAAATAATTAACACTGCACAAGTTTTTCTCATTTGTTTTTCAGCGCCATCGAATCTAGTGCAACAAAGCATTCCAAACAACAGTCCAAACAGCAGGCGAACCATGCACAGGGTAAGATAAGATGAAGGGACCGTTGGGAACCAATTGCTGTTTTGTAATCCACATTGAAGGCCACAATTGGCAGACAGGTAAAAAGAGTCCTTTCACTTTGAAGAAAAATCCTTTGTCCTGTTTGCAGCCGCCATCGTGCTAACAGCCAAGGTTGGTACTATGAAGCGTAAACGACAGCTACGGGACCTCGTGGAGCAGCACAATCGGGGATATGAAGATGACATCTTTGACTCCACCCCTTTCAAGAAGCAGAAGAAGCTGAAGGTCAGTCTGGCGCCTGCCCATCCATGTTCATGGTGACCCAACTCTCAAGCTGAGTGCTTGACTGCCCTTGATAAATTTTTCTTTAACCCCCTCACACCGGGAGACGTCGACAGCCACGGCCTTGTGTGAGGATTAGTGCATACCGCACGTACATTCTATTCATCATGCACCTGCGGTTTCAATGTGGGCCTGCTGCTGGACAAGGCTTTGCATACTGGGCATACCGCAGCCCAGCAGTCGCGGTCAAAAGAATCCCGGCGTTAAGAGGTTTAATTCCCCCAAAGTTTCCTTTTGATATTGTGACGTAAGCCCTCCCAGATCCATGAGGAAGAGAGAGGCTGCGTTGATCTTTTCCCCTGGTGTCTTGCATTTAGCACCATGGAGCACACTCCCAAGATTTATGCACATTCAGCTGAATGAAAATTTACTCCAAAAGTCCTCGTTCCTTCAACTAACAGATGGAGGATTCAAAAAGGGTTTCCTACTCATTCAGTGGATAGGTGCCAGCACGGATCCTGCTGCTTGGTATCATGAAAGAGCGTACCCCTCTTTTGATAGTCATATGCTGCCGAAGCCCAGAACCTGGACCGTGTTCCATGCAACACGTCAGAGTGTGCAATGCTTTGCTATCATTTCTAATTTCCATCCATTGGGAAATGGTTGGTAAACTGCAGCAATACTTGCATTTGTACGTTACTGTATTCTTCAGTGGCATTTTATACTAACCTGACACACCTGGGCACCACACTCTGGCTAACCAGTTTTGAAATCGAGGTGCCCCTCTGTGACTGAATGAAACCAAGAGAGAGCCAACAAACCACCAGTTCAAGAAGTAACTGTGGGCCTACTTATGGCATTTTATTCATAACTCCACTGCACTGATCCAGTAACCTCCTCCAACCCCCAGTGACACCCCTGACATTCTCCGACTGTACCTTAGATACCTCTTGGCGAGTGGGACACCGAAGAAGACAGCCACGAGGGCAGTGTCGGCAAGACACCTGGCTCGGCTCGGTTCAAGACACCCAGCCTACGCTATCAAGGGGTGCTGCCCCTGTCCGACAAGAAGACGCCCTACTCCAACCTCATCAGCCCTGGTCTGCTGCCCTCAGTTGACAGGTAAGACCTTTTCCAATCCAGAATTCTGCAATGGGCTTGTTTATCTGTTCATTTATTTGTTTAGTGTTTATTAGCATCTATTTCTGGTCATGAATTAAGGGGCTCTTCAAAAACACCTGTGACGCTACTCTAGCTTGCAAGCCTGAAACCTGTTGAGAGGAGACGATGCGGAAATGTTCAGATTGAGATGTGGGGAAAAAACCCTTGACAAATATACCAGAGGAAGGCTAAAGGATTAGACAGGAAATGGAAACCCAATCCATATGTGAAGTAGGCAGAACTCAAGCCTGGGTTACCGACTGGAAGGCGAGAAAAATACCCTTATGACAAAGGAACAATATGGAACAATTTCTATTCAACACCGTTCAATAAGAGTTGATCGCTTTGTGAAAAACCTTCCACATGTACATGTATATTTATGAATTGTGGTCAAATGTCACCATGGTAACTTAGGCACTGGTTCCCTACTGGCTCCCATTATTCTATAGTGTAGTTTAATCCTTGTCAACGGTTTACAGTGCCCAGTGAGGATGACGTTCATTGGAACAAGTTGTATAAAGATGTGGAAAAGATTTCAGTTTACTCAGTGGAACTGTTAAGAATAGAATGATCATGTTGTGTACTTCGTTTTGACCCAGTGGTTTATTCTGTAATGTGTCATCCCATAGGAAGCACGTTGATCAGTATATATATGGTCTCCAAAAAAAGAAGAAGGGTCATGGGCTAGTGCAAAGGCCCTACACAACGAAGAAGGTGAGTGGAACACTCATAATATTATATTAAACTGAAGTAGTTCACATCGGAGGCTGTGGAAATATGATCTTAGTGGTCTACACAAACAAGGAAGGCTTATGGTGTACACTGCCATGGGTGCCATGAGTCACTGTCGGGGGGGGCATGAGTCACTGT